AGGACCTTAAGGTGAGAATCAAGCTCAGGTCGCCTTGTACACTGGAGTAACATGTGTCAACATACACTGTACAAACTGTACAAACCACTACACCACTGGCACTCAACTTCAGGCATCTTCAGACAAATGATTTTCAGTTGGCACGACTTAAAAAGTTTTGTTACAGAGTAGTTCACCTCTCCAGAACCTAATAATCTTATGTTAACCCAACTAAATGTTTTTGTATTACTGACAAATAATTTTAGGTCAGTGCAGCTGATGTTTTCATGAACAAGAAAAAGCAAAAGGAAACAAGGAGTGTGTTTTTTATTTTGTTGTACTGGTTTAAAAATGCACTGCTAAAATGACATTGAAATGCACCGTTTCTGTCACTCTTATCTACTGTCTGCCATGGTTTTTTGACTGAAGCTCTGTGTTTACATGCATTCATGTATATTCAAAAGTCTAACCTGTGATGTTTTTATCTCATAGCTTATATAAAGACACGGACAGCACATTACATCACAGGAGGAGATATACAGACATCTGAGTGCTGATGGACCATTTCATCAAAAGCTATTCTATCATTCACAGATACCCGGCGCTCCCCTGAGAGAGCTCTGAAAAGTGTAGGCATTTTCCCATCCTCGTCCCTCTTGAAAATGCTGATGATTTCATGAAGGCGAATGACAGAAGCACTTTGAAAGCGGCTAGAAATAGCACTGGCTAGTGAGGTTGATGGGAGTAGCTGGAGCAGGGATGGATTCCTTAATGACCAAAATAAATGGCCTCTCAATCCATCCACAAACACAGTTCATCTTCACCTGAATCCCCCTCTGACAACCTGTCCTCCCTAAACAAATGTTCGCTTTTGATGTAGTGTGCCATGATCAAGATTTATTGTTGTGGCGGGAGGCAGTCAGTCTGTCCTGTCATGGAACTTTCACTCCTGCAGGTGGCACTAACTAAACACAAAGACCCGATGCTGTTGTAAATCAAATTAATATGTGATTTTGGACATTTTCCCCACTGCAATTGACGCTGAATAGGAAAGGTTCACCTATAATTAGAAATAGTGAAATTCTTTCTGCTTATTATTGATGCTGTTATTTTGATTGCTGGGGTGAAAAAACTTTTAAATTAAAAGTTTACTTTGCCTCAGAGGTTTAAAATTTCATCAAACCTCTTTCACACATATAGACTTAACCCAGTAGACACAGTATGTCAACATGACATCAGATTAACGTTGCACACTAAGGTCGTTGGGTCGTTGCATTTTGTTTTGACGTTCAGGGTCAATATACAACGTCCAACCTAAAATTAATCAAATATCAGTTTTGCTAATGATGTTGCAGCTTGATGTTGTGTGGACATTACCATGTCTATCAGATGTTGGATTTTGGTTGCCATACCTGACAAGTTAATGTCAGTATTTGACGTCAATATGGCGTTGGTTTAAGATGTTGGCTCGACGTTGGAGTTTCACTTTCCAACACAACCAAATATCAGTCAATTGACATCTGTATAAGTAACATTGTCCTTAGACACTGGCTAGACATAAATTTTGGTAACTTGAAATCACAACCTAAAGATAACCTAATATTATTGTCTTATGCTGTTGTGTGCCTGCTGGGAAGAGACGGAAAAGGCCTTTAAAGAGCCCATATTATGGGTTTTTGAAAATTCCCCTCCATGTAGTGTGTAACACAGCTATAAGTGAAGTGAAGTATCCAGCTAAGGCTTAAATCTGTAAGAGTACAGTGTTTAAAACGGTTGATTCATCTATAAAAGAGTCGACTCATAGTGCTTCAAACGAGTCGCCTTGATACCGAGTCATTAGGTGTTTCACCATGACGTACGAACTAAACCAAGTTATTCACGTGCACGCGCAAACCCGGGAGATTTTAAACCTGAGGCCCCGCCTTCTGACGCAGAAATGCAGACACACACACACCCACAAACACACGCACACAAACATGTGCAGAATTTGGTGTAACACCGGTCGATTGAAGTCACACTGCAGATGGATATTATCGAATCTCTACCCAAAGATGAAACCTCAGCATTATAACCAAGCAGTTGGAAACTACTGGAAACTTCTGCAAACTACATGCTACAAAGAATACTTCATCGGCGTTTGTTAAAGGAAGGATCAGTAAAGAACAACTTACTGATGGACGTCAGGATGGGTTTCTTCCTCCATGTCTCAAGTGTAAGTACGTGCGATTAAAGTTGTTGCCTCGTTGACTCTAGCTTGCAAATGTATTTAGTTGTGATTTGTTACTTGTAACCGCGTGTACTGTATCAGGTTAACTGGCTATATTCTCTTATCGCGTGCAAAGCCACGTTAAAAACGCGACGCGTGCTGCTTTGTTTACGGAGCTTCGTGCGTAGAGGTCTGCATTCCCGCCGCGGGACCCGACCAGATTTCTGCGGCGCGGGAATAAATTTCCGAATAAATCGCGGGGGCGGTCTGTAACGGGTTTAATTTGGGAAGAGAGCGGGCTGTCTAGCAATATCGCGGATATTGCTATGCGAATGAGAGAGAGAGAGCTTTGCCTGTGTGTCTGCTTGGTGCTTGTGTGTGTGTTTATACAGACTGCTTAGCTGTTGGACTGTTTAGCTGGGTGATTTTCGGTTATGTTCTTCCCCGCTCTTTAGCGGGATCGGGTGCGGCGGGCAGAAAACGGGGCGGGTCGGGCACCGGGACAACAAATTCTTAATATAAGCGGGAGCAGTCGGGTTCAGGCTAAAAACTGGCGGGTGCGGGCGGAAGCGGGAGCGTTGTCGTCCGGAGGTGTGTGTGTGTTTGTGTGTGTGTGTGTGTGTGTGTGTGTGTGTGTGTGTGTGTGTGTGTGTGTGTGTGTGTGTGTGTGTGTGTGTGTGTGTGTGTGTGTGTGTGTGTGCGCTCGCGCGCAAGGACGAGGGCAATATGTGTGTTTGTGTGCATTTCACTCTCTGTCTCTGTCTGGACAGACTGTCATCGGTCCAATCACCGCAGATTAGCTTCGTGCTAAGGAGGGGTTTGGGAACAAATGAATCACTGGACGATTCATACGGGAGTCGCTGGAATAATTAGGTAAAAATAAATGCAGACCTTGCATGCATATTAGACTGTTTTTGGAGACCCTTACAACCAAGATATGACCCTGTTTCATGTATAATATGGGCTCTTTAAGAGGAAAAAAATTTAAAAATACTGTAAACTTGATTGCGCCAATATTTCATAAAGTAATGGCTACTGGTAAATTTCCATAAAACTAACATAACAACTTAATCATTAAATTAAAAAATGCACTGTTCACACAGTAGAATTTCGACAATTTACTGGTTTGCTTCTTAATCATGAAAACTTTTATTAGGAAAAATTCACAGCAACATCTCTTCACAACAATTTACCAGCAATTTTCTGTTGGAGTCTATCAGTGCTTAGCATAACTGAATACACCCCATTTTGAAAATGAATATTTTTATCCATTTCTCAGTCAATATAGGCAATGCATTTTGGTGCATTTAAACAAAACATTTATTGTATGTTGATTTATTAAAAAGGTATATTTATTAAAATAATATTTTAGCCAACAAACATATTTAGAAACTGAAAGATAATACAATTAAATTCAAGCAAAATATTGCAAAAAAACAACCTACAAAATTTCAACAAAATGTTTACTTTTTTTTTCTTCTCTTGATTTTTCCTCTTTTTAAAATTTGTATTTAATATTTTTCCATAACATATAAATATACTAGTTTTTCTTAAGTTATTTTGTTAGATGAGCCCCAGATTACCCGTAATTATATTTGGATATGCACAAATATAATATTGTATAGCTTTCTATTAAAAAATAAACATACATTTAAAAGATAGATTTATGAGGGGTGACAGTGACTAACATAAATATGTAATATTTATGTAATATTTTTAAATATGTAATATTTTTCTGCTGAAAAACAGTAGAAACCCTCATGGAATTTGTAATGATTTTTATTGCTACTTTTATAATGGGATTTGTATTTGTGAATGCAAACCTGGCACTGATGACCAATCCTGCGGGTCTAGACTCATTTCTTACACTCAATTGGCAAGTTAAAACAACTAAATGCTAATGAAATATGTCCTTCAATATGAGGCACAAGAACATTTGAAAAGTTCTGTTTTTAATGTTTGAAGGTTGACAGTGTCATTTTTAGTGGTATTATTAGTGGCAGCTATCAGAACTTTTTTGGTGGTTTCTATTGTTTTAGTGTTTCAGCAAGGTTGACGATATAAGATTATCTATTCACTACTTCTCATTTGAAATATTTTTAGGTGTAAATGTTGATCCATCTGATTATTATTTCACCTATTTTTCACTTTTTTCAAGGAACATTCTGGAACATTCTTGGCAAAATAATTTATATAAATATATAACTTTATATAAATATAACCATGAGGGAACCAAACCGAACATCATCCAATACCAAACAGGTAGTGTCTTTGTCTCTATCTTTGTGCTTAGTTCTAATTGACAGACAAAAAAGTTAATATGTTTTCTTGAACTGCTTTATAAATAGACCAATGAATGCAAGCACACACACACACACACACACACACACACACACACACACACACACACACACACACACACACACACACACACACACAATGGACAAGCAGTCAAATGGTGCAACACATTAAAAGTCAGAAAACTGAGACAGTGTCAATAGTTTATCTGTCTTTTATATTCGATAACCTTAAACAAAATCACAAGATCAGATTCTCATTCCTTGCATATGATTTCATGACAGTCGTAAAGGTTGCTTTGTTGCTTCTTCCTCTGTTGGAGGAGTCTTATCAAAGGCCATGATTCTGGGTGGTACTATTGTGGCATAGTGGTGGAATCAGGGTGTGAGTGTGTGTTTGTGTGTAAAATGTGTCTGAAAATGCCGCCTGAAAGACTGGCTCCTCGTCCAAGATAACTTTGTTCTTAGGGACCTTAAGGATGACATCATAATAGGTGATCATACGGCGGCAGGATGTGTTATCTGTGACACGTTCAATCACAATAACCTCAACTGCACACAGACACACATTTGCAGACACACACTGCATCCTACTCTTTCCCAAAAGGCTGCTTTTTTATCAAACAAGATAGACGCGCACACACACCCATTCACATCCACAAACAGTTCCCGAATCCTCATGGGGAGAGGTTGTGTTTTCAGTTTAAAAGCACCATCTTCAACTTAAGTGTAGACAGAGGATTTTTGTGGATGTGTGGAAGCTTTTGTTTTGGTAATCTCTGAAAACAAGTACAAAATATTTTCTAAAAAAACCCACTTGAATATTTCTGGATCCTTTAGCTGTACCCACTGAAGGTAAGTCTGATATAACTTTATTGTAAGAGATGCATAAATATGAGTAAGCACCTAGCAGAGGCTTTAGGAGCTTCAAAATGTTAATAATAATGCAAAAAGGTTGTTATTATTATGACTAATATTGAATAAAATTTGTATAAATTATGATTAATAAATGCTGTACATTTATTGTTCACACATAGTTAATGTTAGTAACAAATGACCAAAAACTGTAAATGTACATTTATGAGTTAAAGATGCTTTTTGTAAAATGACTTTTGATGGTATGTTTGCATAATAAAACTCTTTATATTACTCTATATATACAGTTGAGGTCAGAATTATTAATCCCACTGAATTATTTGCCACCCTTGTACATTTTTCCCCCAATTTGTTTAACGGAGAGAAGGTCAAATATTATTACTTAATGTTTTAAATTAATGCGTTACTTTACTTGTTACTTAGAAAGGATATTGCGTTTCCCCCAACACTGTGTGTAATGTAGAGTATAGCCTGTCTAAATAAACTTGTTTTCTTTGTTCGGGGAGAATCTCTGTGAATGGAGAGATCCTCTAGGGCATGATTAAAGCATATTCAAAGGCATTGTCTGGAGTCTCTCTAGTTCTTACTGCAGTGAGGTTTATGGAGCTGTAAAAATTGTACTGAGTGATAGTGTTCAAAAAGGACAAGTTGTCGCCTGACTCAGCAAGAGTGGCTTTTTAGACACTCTTGAATATAGTTTATAGGTAAGCGTTGAGAGTAGACGCTACAATGGGTACATTGTTAGTAGATGGTGGTCAGGTACATGAAGAAACGGTTTAAATTAATTTAATTAAATTCCATTAATTTAAATAGTTATATTACCACTGTTAGTAATAAATTTAATTGTTATGGCAATTTAATCACATAATACAATTTCTCAATCATATTTAAAATATATATTTTTCCTTATGTTTTGTACTGTGGTTCATGTGTAAATAGTTTGAAATATCATATATTTTATGTAAATGCAGTAATAGTACTTAATGAGAAGGTTTTATAAAAAAATATGACTATTTTATAAAATAACGCTTCTTCTGATTAAATGGACACAATTACAGTATTTTCAAACTAATATGAATTTTCAATTTAGTGTAATGTGAGGACATTTATTTACGCTGTGATTTGTACAACCCTGGTAACTTGTTACAAAAATTATAATTATACATTTATAACTAATTTAACCAAAATGAACTTTTCTCTGCTCTCCTCTTCAGTTCTGTCTCTTTGGTCAGGATTGCACCAACTAGACAATGTGTAGGGTCCTGAATATTCTATCAGCTCTTTTGAGCCGCTTCCTGTTTGCAGTGCATGGCGTAGTGACAGTGTGGCGTGTGGTGGAGGTGACAGGCGAGGCTTCCTATTGGCTGCTGGTGATGGGTGTGGCACTGCTGGGGGTGGAGATGGCCATAACTGTCAAATACACACGCAACACAGAATGGCGATGGTGAGGTTATGCTCTCATATTCCTGTCATCAACTTAAATATTACCACACAGACCAGCAGACAAAACTGATATTTGTGCTGAAATTTTGTATAAAAAACAGCATTTTTTTTGGTAAATGAATTCTGTCTGAAGCACTGCAAAAATGCCTTCTTATTAAGAGTTTTTGCCTTGCTACTTGTACAAATATATATAAATTTGTAAAACAGGACAACATTTTTTTACTTGTTTGTAGAAAAGGCCTCTTAATTAAGGATTGATTTTAATATTTGGACTAGAAATAAGGCAAAAACTCAAAGTAAACCCCCCCCCCTTTTTTTTGCAGTGTGCAACATTTTACTATTAAAAATGTAAAAGTAAAAAGAAATGGCTTTATTGACATAAACATATTTTGTGACTCACATTTTATACATGTTTAAAGTCTCAGTCCTGTCCAGCTGCATTATGTCTGCTATAACAATCAACAGTTTAAATGGAATTAAGAATAAAATCATATTTGTTTGGATCCTTATGTTGGTGAGTAAATAATGGCAATATTCTTCTTTTTAGTTATTTATAAAGAACCAAATTTATTGTAGGTAGAACGGTTTTTTGTAGCCATTTTTGTTTTCCTGAATATACCAGAGACCGCTGTGTATGCTTTTGGAGATCTCAAATTTCTTTCGCAACTGCTGTTCTCATGTAAATCCACCAGAGGCTGCTGTCAACTTATTGACTGCTTGACCGATCGACTGACCCACCCTCCTCCTTCCCTAAACCCAACCAATAGTGTTTTCAAAAGCACAGATTGACCCGCCAACCCCTTTCCTAAACCCAGCTGACAGTTTTAAAAAGCAGTCCAGAAAAAGAAAAGCCCTCGTCAAATTTTTACCACATTTTCAGATTTTACTACCTTCTCACGCTGTTATATACTTGTTTATTTTATTTTTTGGCTACTGTTTTTGTCTTACCCACTTTCTGGAACCGTTCTTCACCAGACTCGAACCTCACCATTGTGGTCAACTCCTCTCTGCATCTCAAGTCTACCAACGTACATGTTGAGCTAACTGGACAAACTGGTAATAGTGGGAAAGCTATCCACACGGAGGTAATCGGTCAGCTGGTAACCCTGAAAAGGAACAGCATCATAACCGCCCCGTTGTGTTCATTTTAAAGACGAAATGCAGCCATACGTCCTTCTGGCTACATAATTTGCGATCTCCAGAAATGTTGACTGTAGAACTGTGGTGTTGGTGAAAAAAAGAAAAAAGAGAATCCGTTTTGCCTTTTAAAAATAACTTTCCAAAGTTTCTCCAAACATTCTGGTATTAAAAGACTTAGGGCTCAAAAGCAGGGGGCCGTGATAATGATTAACGCTAACGAGAACGTGGGAAATTACACTTGCATTCCTTCAAGCTCTGCACTTCAGTCTCTCTTGTGGGGATGGGTGATAATAATAACACAGTGAAGGGGAAAAACAACCTCTGCCTTTGCAACTTCGCACTCACACAGAGCATCAGCTGATCATGTTCAGCTAGACTTTTTAAAATGTATGTACATTGAGATTGCTCTGCTAAGATATTTATTAATGAGACTCTGCACTCCTGCTGACATGGATGGAGGACCTGCTGAGAACATCCTCCTCATCATCCCCTTCACTCTTCCATGATCTCCATTTGAACCTTTCTCTCCCGTACTACTTTTTTATGCATTTCTATCTCTCTCTCATGCATGCTACACTTTGAAGTCTCTGTACTCTTTAGAGAGGCTTGCCTCTGTCAGTGGGGATTTGCATAGCTAATGGGAGTAATTTGCAGTCTGTGTTGTGCTGGTGTGCCTGCAGCACCGGACTCTGTTGTGTGACCCAGCTTTACCACCCAATCAGAAGTATCTGACACACATAGAAGTATTTGGTGGCTTTAATAAGGCTATGTTAAACTGAGTTTGTGTAAGTCTCGGAATGTCTTTCTTACACAGGAGCTTATGATAGAGGTTTAAATACTGTCTGTATAGTTTTATCTTCAGATGTTACAGCATTTTCTTTTCGGCTTAGTCCCATTATTAATCAGGGGTCACCACAGCAAAATGAACCGCCAACTAATCCAGAATAAGTTTTATGCAGCGGATGCCCTTCAAGCCGCAACTCCACACAGAAACACCAACTGACTCAGGTGAGGCTCGAAGCAGCAACCTTCTTGTTGTGAGGCGATCGTGCTACCCACTGCGCCATCGTGCAGCCCTCAGCTCTCTTATTTCTGGGAAAACAATAAACATAAATTGCTTGGATGGAAATTAATTTATGGATTGAAAGTAGACTGTTTTCAGTACAATGTCTGCAATTCTGGGAAAAAAGGTCTATTGCAGAAGATTAATAGATTAGGAGTGGAGGAGAGCTCAGTTTCACCTTTAACCCAAGTGCCTTCTTCAAAAAGCTCCATCCCACACAATGATAACCACAGCACCACAATTATGAAGACAGCCGTTTCCTGTAACAGTGCCTTATCGACATTACCAGGAAGTTTCGCTTACATTAAATATATTGTGGAATTAGACACTGAAGCAGCCAATGACTTCAACTGGGAATTGAGCTAGATTAAACTTTTTTTCAAGAAAACTTTTTTAGCATAACAAAACCACCCCTCATTTGACAGCTGTAGATTTCTACACATCCTTGTTGGAGCACTTCAGGCAATTAGAGTAAGCGCCATGTTGCTCTTTGCTTCTCCTAGTACAGGTGGATTGCATCATGATCTGGTATTAACCCTTGTATCCTTTTGTGAAAGGCAGCCACTTGTTTATGGCCCATTGAAGGGCAATTTGCTCCAGCACCACCTCAATGACCAGCTATGGGTGGCTGTTCCCCCCAGACTGTCCCCAGAGTACAAGAAAGCCCCTCCAGCTGAAGGGCGTACTCACACTATGTACAGTTGCCTTGAACCGGGCCAAAGCACGCTTGTCCCCCCTCCCGACTCCCCCAATCCCGCACTTACATTAAATTCTGGCCTGGGCACGCTAACGTCATCGATGATGCGCTGTTCAGCAATCGCTTTTGGTCAGCACAGCGAAGATTTCTTTAGTTATGTCATTTTAGTGGTTTGGGATCCAGACAAATATTTCGCTGAACAGATCAGCCACTTTTGACGCTCGTATTGCACTCACACTACAAGCGTACTGTGCCAAAGCCCAAGTGAACCTCGCTCTGGCACACCTCTTCCAACCGGGCCAGGGCCGGCCAAGTGAACAGTGCCTGAGCCTGATTCAGAGCACTCACAATTCTCAAACCATCTGGGAAACAGGCCTGGACACAGTTCGGATAGCATAGTGTGAGTACTAGGGTTGGGTACTGAAACCCGGAGCCATTATAGCACCGGTACCTTTGTAACCGGTATGTATAGGATCAAATCAGCATATGAATTTCATTGCCTAATTTCAGTGCCACTGGTACAGCGAAAAGACGTAAGAGGAATTAAGGGGTTCATCAAAGGCACACATAGGCATTGTGTCACACCATCACTAAACATTTAATTCTAAACAACTTTGAGGAATACGGACAGGCGATGTCAGGCATTTGTTTTTGTTGCTTTGGGAACGGACGCACACAATGCACGCAGTACAGCGCATTTAGCCTGCTTGTTGGTGAGCGAGAGCGACACTCTTCAGATCTACACTCATGATCGCGTTCATCAAATTTGCTTAAACTAAGCATTCTAAAGCATATTTTACAAGCAAGGATTCTGACACAGCAACGTGCTTTACAAAAGTTGCGTGTAAGGGGGAAACATGTCAAACTTAATGACACATTTGAGGGCTTAAAAAGGCAAAGGAATGCCTCTCTCGCGTGCTCTAGGTGTCACGTGCAATCGCTCCCTCAGGCACTCGTTCCGTCTGCTTTTGCGGCACTTGCTCTCTCTCTGACGGTGCCGCACGAATCAGTTCCCCGCATTTGTCAAAAGTTAACACCCAAATTGACACAGGTAATAAAGAGATTAAACTTCAGTCATGTTCATGTTGTGAAACACTATCAAAATGTCCACTGTTGATGATATTATACTTCCGTTTTCAATAGTGATTTTAACACTTTTAATATAGGAAGTCCTCGGCTATGCAGAGACCATTATTAATCAGAAATCTAGTGTACATAGTTTTACATTAGGATATGCAGTCTTGAATTTACAAACAGTCGGCAAGTACCAAAGAACAGATGAAACACTGATCAAATGTAGTTTTCAGTCACGCTCATGTAAGTCATATTTAACTCAATCAGTTTTACCTTCATTCATTTTTGATTTCCATCTTCAACACATGATTTATTGACAACACATTTTTAAACATAATAGTTTAACTAATTTCTAATATCTACTTTTTTATCTACTCCATGGTGACCGTTTAAAGTCCATTTAAGTATTTTATAGTCTTTAATTCAGATTAAAGTGTAATTTAAAGACTTAATCAGTTAACTACGAAAGTTGAAACAATTAGTCACATTATTTTGTAACTGATTTGTTGTGTATATCAAAAATATTCAGTAAATATTTCTTAAAGAGGCTAAAAATACTGACCTTATTTTTATTTAAATTAAAAACTGCTTATATTCACGAAATTAATAATATGAAATAGGACTTATTATGACTCCAGAATAATTATTTTTAAGAAACACTGTGAACATTTTCAGAAACATTATTTTAAATGAATGGGAGGGCAAAATAAATTGACTTCAACTGTAGGCCTGTCTGTTAAAGTTTTCAGGTGCAACAATGTGCTTTGATGTATTAGAATGTTAGAAATGTGTTATCCTACACCAGTACAAAGGTACTTGTCAAATAAATTAACAAGGAAGATTATTTTGAGTTTAAGTTATTTAATTATCTTGTTTATGAAGACTGCAGAGTGTGGCATGAAAAAAATTATTTAGATTTTTTTTTTTTTTTGAATTTTGTGATATATATGTTAAAATTTGCCCCCAAAAGTACAAGTGCTCCCTGCCCGCCCCCCACATGGTTAGTTGTAAGCTAATGTAATTTCATAATGCAAATCTTAAAATCATGGTAACCAACAAATGATATATATTATCATATATATTATATATTTCATATATATTAAATGAAATATATTAATGTAATTCAAATGTATGAAATATGAATTGATGTTTACTTTAAACTTTAATTATATTGTTCTATTAAAATATATATATATATTTAAAGATTTTGTCAAATAAAAGATTTTTTTAGAGTCATCCACCATAATTTTGTGGCTAAAAAGTATCGGTTAAGGCAGCGCTTTGACACCGGTTTTATTTTAAAACTAACGATTTAGAAAAAAAAAAAAAAAAACGATACCCAACCCTAGTGAGGACGCCTGAAAATTCTTTGTTCTTCCTCCAGGGTTTTGGCACTACAGTAACAAAGTTGAAGTCTTCAAGAACATATATTTACTTAAGTGTCAGTGTACACCACCCTTTGGGTGAGATGTCGATATAAGGTCCTGACTCTTTGGTCATTAAAAATTCATAATGTCCTTCAAAAAGAGTAAATGAGTCTCCCTAGCATCCTGGCTAATCTTGCCCACTGGCCTCTTTCCATCATGGCCTCCTAACCACCCCCATATTATCTGATTGGCTTCATCTCCACCAATAAGCTGGTGTGTGTGGTACACATCACATCTTGGTAGATTCTGCAAATTGGTGGTGGTTGAGGAGATTCCCCCAAATCTGTAAAGTGCATTGAGTGCCCAAAGCACTTATTGTTAATTATTACTTTAATTCATAACTCATATTTAATTCACAACTTTGTTTTAATAAAAATAAACAAAGTAAGCAGAAGACTGTCACAGATTACTGCAACATCAACATAAACAAACAATCAGTATAAATGTACCTAGCATCAATAAAGCCACCTCATGGTGCAACTCAAGCTGGCCATTGTGAACTTTCCCAAGGACTTGCTTTTTCACCGTTAAAAATGGTTTGCTTTACACACTAAACAATTTTTTGCTTTACATGTTGGTCTTACAGCCTATTGGGGCAATGACAATGGTAGTGTAGTAAGTGGATTCTAGGGATTTGGATTCTTGGCCCTTGGCACAAGTTCCTATTCTGGGCCCCCTCAGTTGAAATCATGTTCTGAAGCCAGGGAAATTGTGCCATTTGGTACCCCCCTAGTCTTTATCATGGGAACCTTGAGGCTTCTGGACCTTATAAACTCTGCTACAGTACGTGGATTTCAGATCTTCTGCCTTCACTCTGAAGGTCTGTCTTCCAGACATTTCTCTCTGTATGAAGTCAAATCTTTATTCTCTTTGCGACTATCATCTGTAACCATATTGACAGAAACCAAATTGACAGGGGTCACCAATCTCGACCCAGGAGGGCCGGTGTCCCTACAGGATTTAGCTCCAACTTGCCTCAACACACCTGCCTGGATGTTTCAAGTATACCTAGTAAGACCTTGATTAGCTTGTTCAGGTGTGTTTGATTAGGGTTGGAGCTAAAATCTGCAGGACACCGGCCCTCCAGGAACAAGTTTGGTGACCACTGGCTTAAAGGGTATACAGAATGTTACAACTGTAAATAACCAAATATGTGTGAAATTTACAGGACTGAAAACAGCATTTTGTTGCAATAAGTGAACAAGTGGAAAGTAATGTGTAAGTACATTAATCCATCCATCTATCCATTAACAGGACGTTTCTCCCACTCTTCTGCAGGTTCTCACCTATGGTTTTTCTTTACCTGAGCACTGTTATTCCCTCAGTCTGGTTCCTGGAGCTAAACCTCCTACAGTCCAATTTGCCCTTCAACTCAAGCACAAACTCTGATCCGCAACTCCTCTCCCAGATCCCGCTAACAATGGTGGGTGGAAAACAATTGTTAGCAATAAAACTCTGACTTGACCAGTAAAAAAAGTACAGGTATAGTCTTGAACAAAATGAGAATCTCTCTCTTTCTGCCTCTGCTGTTTTGGAGGTTTCAGCTCTCATAAATTCTGGGAAAGCAATAAACTTAAAACATTTGGATTGAAATTGATTCATGCATTGAAAGCAGACTATTTTCTGTAAAATGTCTGCCATTCTGGGAAAAGAATTGAATGCAGAAGATTAATACATTACTGAGGAGAGCTCAGTTTCACCTTTGACATATATGCCTTCTTTAAAAAGCTCAAACCCACACACTAATAACCACAGCACCACATATCTGAAAACTGCAGTTTCCTCTAACATTGACTTATCGAAGTTACCAGGACAGTGTTGGGGAAAGTTACCTTGAAAAGTAATGCATTACATTATTGAGTTACTCCCCCCAAAAGATGCATTGCTTAGTTACTCTTTATCGTAAGTAATGCGTCATGTTACTTTTGAGTTTAATCTCTTCCAAAACTTGTAGGGTGTTTTTCCTTTTTTTAAATAGAGGAGCTCTGCATTTAATGACACACTGTACTACCTGTACTACCTGTACTACATTATTCAATTAAAAAAAAAAATTAACAATGTTATCTTCTGATAAATTCCTGACACTACACATGCTGTATATACAGATTAATGAAAGTTGAAAGGAACGTGTTTGCTACTTTTGTATTTTTGTCTTATTAGTTGAGTAAAATCACTGTCCATTGAGACTATCCCCTTTTCTTCCATGTGTTCAAAATAATGAGATTACTTCCATCACAGAAATGTAAGGCTCTGCCATCTTGGTGTCTGTTCCCACGAGGAGCTCATTTTTTTAGTTGAATGTGTGATTCAACATGATTATACTAATTATAATTGAGCAAACTATTTTTAAAAGAAAATAATTAAAACTCCAGTTACATTTTTAAAAAAGTAACTAAAACAATTTTTCGTCATTTTTAAAGCAATTCAGTACTTGTTACTTAGAAAGGTAATGTTATCATGTGACTCGCCTTACTAATAATGCGTTACCCCCAACACTGCTCACGTAAGCATTCATTGACTTCCATTGGGAACTTGTATGACCACTTTCTTATTATGAACAATCATAAAATGAATAAGATGTCTTAAAAATTACAATTGGAAACTGCCTTGTCTATCACTGAAAAGAAGCTATAATTGTAGCTTGCACAATGACTCAACTTTTGTAGAAATTAAGGAAAACTAAAGTGATGGTCAGTCACACATTATTTCAAAAAGGTCACAAGGCACAAAATATGAGCTCATGGTGACAGTTCAAAATAACTGAGCCAACCCCTTGCATAGCAAATATGCAACCTCGC